CAGAACCTTAACACCAAGATTTGATCACATTGTGGTTGCGTTGGAGGAATCCAAGGACCTAGACTTTATGAAGATAGAAGAACTGCAGGTAAGTCTTGAGGCACATGAACTGAGGTTGACTGATAGGATCAAAGAAAGAGGCAAAGGTACATCTTTGGATCAAGCATTGCAGGCCTAGTATGTGAAGAAAGGAAAATCCAAGAAAGAAATTCAGTGCTATAATTGCCAGAAGTGGGGACATTATACATCTAAATGAAGATCAAAGAGGGTTCCAAGGAGCAAAGATGAAGCTCAATTTGCTCAGAATGAGGAATCAGACTCTGATGAAGTACTGTTGATGGTAACAGTTAAGGATGAATAAGAAAGAAGTGATGAATGGTACTTAGATATTGGGTGCTCAAATCATATGACAGGCAAGAAATCTTGGTTCTCTGAACTAGATGACTCAGTAAACAGAAAGATAAGATTTGCAGACAATAGCATAGTGTGTGCAGCTGGCATTGGGAAAATATTGATCAATAGGAAGGACGGTAATAAAGCTTGCATTACTGATGTGTTGTATGTACCAAATATGAAGAGCCGCATAATCAGTATTGGTCAATTATTACAAAAGGGGTACACTATGAAGATAGAAGCACAAGCTATGAAGGTTTTTGATATAAAGAATAGGTTGATTCTTAAAGCTCCTCTGTCAAAACAAAGAACTTTCAGAATCAACATCAATGTGATTGAAGATCAGTGCTTGTTATCTGAAACTAAGAATGGAGACTGGCTATGGCGTCAAAGATATGGGCATATCAATTTTAGGAATCTGAATATGCTTCATGAGAAGAAAATGGTGCAAGGCCTACCAAAATTAAAGTTGCCTGAAGAAGTATGTGATATGTGTTGCACTGGAAAACAAGCCATAAATTTATATAATGCAGAGGTACCATTCAATGCAACCAGAAAACTCGAGGTAATTCACTCTGATGTATGTGGATCTTTTGAAGTAAAGTCAGTAGGGGAAATAGCTACTCTGTAACATTCATAGATGAATTCACTAGGAAATTATGGATTTACTTGTTAGCTAAGAAAAGTGAAGTGTTGGGTGTGTTTAAGAAGTTTAGATTGCTAGTTCAAAATGAAAGTGGTGAAGTAATTAGCAGATTGAGAAGTGATGGAGAAGACGAGTATACTTCCACTGAGTTTAATGAGTTTTGCTCATCAAATGGCATAAGTCATGAAGTCACTGCACTATACACACCTCAACACAATGGGATCTCAGAGAGGAAGAACAGAACCTTGGTAAACATGATAAGAAGCATGTTGAAGCAAAATCAGATGCCTCATTACTTGTGGGGTGAAGCAGCTGCTACTGCAGCATATCTCATAAATATAAGTCCCACAAAGAAGTTTCAAGACAAGACACCAGAAGAAGCATGGTGTGGAGTTAAACCAAGTGTTCAACATTTGAAGATCTTTGGCTCATTGTGTTTTAGACATGTACCTGATCAACTAAGGAGGAAATTGGATGATAAATCCCAAGTAAGGATTATGGTTGGTTATCACTTAACTAGTGTCTACAAAGTATATGATCCAAGTAATAAGAAAATAATGTTTAGTAAAGATGTAAAGTTTGATGAATCAAAAGGCTGGAACTGGAGAGATAAGGCATCAAATAAGTGTGATAGCCACTTATATCTAACTGACTTAGAGACAGAAGAAGTTGAGACTAAGGAACGAGAAGAAATTGTTGAAAGTAAAAATGAAGGAGGTGCAGAAGTGACCAATAGACCAACAAGGAATACTTAACCACCAACCAGGTTGAGGGATTATGAGAGGTTCCCTGATCAAGCAATTACAGATAAAGGTGACATAGTGCAACTAGCAATGCTTGCTGAAACTGAACCATTATCTTTTGAGGAAGCGCTTAAACAAAAACACTGGAAGAAAGCAATGATTGAAGAGATAGACTCTATAGAGAAGAATGAAACATGGAGATTAGTTCAACTACCTGCTGATAAGAAGTGTATTGATGTTAAGTGGGTATTCAAAACAAAACTGAAGTCAGATGGTCAAGTGGCAAAATATAAGGCTAGACTAGTTGCAAGGGCTTCCTACAGAAGTACGAACAGGGTTACTATGAAGTCTATGCTCCAGTAGCATGAATGGAAACATTCAGGTTGATTGTGGCAATAGCAGTCAAGAACAACCGGTCCATGTACCATCTAGATGTGAAATCTGCTTTTCTCATAGGTGAGTTAGAAGAAGAAGTGTATGTGAAGCAGCCACCAGGATTTGAGATAGAGGGAAAGGAAGAATATGTCTATAAACTAAATAAAGCATTGTATGGGTTGAAGCAAGCCCCAAGGGCTTGGAATAAGAAGATAGACAATTTTCTTGTTCAACAAGGCTTCATGAAGTGTGTAAATGAACATGGAATCTATTGCAGAAATACCACAAATAAGCTCATTGTGTGCTTGTATGTAGATGACATGATAGTCACTAGAAACAATGAAGCTGAGATGAAGGACTTTAAGAGAAATATGATGAAAATGTTTGAGATGTCTGATTTAGGCAGTCTCACATATTTCCTGGGAATTGAGTTTGAAAGGAATACACAAGGAATTGTGATTCATCAAAGGAAGTATGCTCAGGATGTGTTAAAGAATTTTAATATGCTGAACTGCAAGCCAACTTCAACTCCTGTTGATACAGGAGTAAAATTGTCCCTGGTAAATGATGAAGAAGAAGTAAATCCAACATTGTTCAAACAAATCGTATGCTCCTTGAGGTACTTATGCCATACAAGACCTGACATTGTCTATGGGGTAGGGTTGATCAGTAGATACATGGTGAAACCTACCACCTCTCACTTAATTGCAGCTAAGAGAATCTTGAGATATGTGAAGGGTACACACAGTTGTGGTATTCAATACTGTAAGGGTCAAGATGGTGAGCTAATAGGCTATTCATATTTGGATTGGAGTGGTGATAAAGATGATAGAAAAAGCACATCAGCCTATGTGTTTATGATTGGAAATGCAGTCTTTGCATGAAGCTCTAAAAAGGAACCAATGGTTGCATTTTCCTCTTACGAAGCTGAGTACATTGCAGCTTCCATGGCAGCATGTCAAGCTCAATGGATCAACATGTTGCTGATGGAATTGAAGCTGGTAAAGAGTGAGAAGATTGAGCTCAGAATTGATAGCAAGTCAGCCATAGACTTGGCAAAACATCCAATAGCACATGGTAGGAGCAAACATATTGAAACCAAATTCTATTTCTTAAGAGATCAGGTGAATAATGGTAGGTTGGAAGTGAAACACTACAAGACAGATGAGCAGCTAGCCAATTTGCTTACAAAGCCTCTAAAGACAAGCAACTTTGATTACTTGAAGATGAAACTTGGCATGGCTGAAGCATCTAACTAAATGAATTAAGGAGGTGTATTGGTTTTGTCTAATTCTGTTAGTTAGTTAGTTCAGTATTTTTCTGTTATATAAGCATCAGCTGATTGTCTTGTAACCAATGCAGTGTGTGAAATAAATGAATAGAACATATTTCCTAATCTCTATCTTTTCTCATCAAGTTCCAATAGAATTTTTCTGCAAGAACTTTCATCAAACAGGTTGATACATTCATCATCATTATTCCATCATGCATGACCAATACATTGTAATTTCCTTAATGCATCTTTCCAAGAATGGACATCCCACTTCATTGCATGCGCTACCGTAGCGACACGAAGAGGTAAACTAGCACATTTTTGGGCAACTTGAATTACTACATGTTCCAAATCCCTATTGTTAACCACATCACCAGCCATAAATTGAAACAAGCTCCATGAATTTTTTTCACTCATAAGTTCAAGTTTAAAAGTGAAATCCTTTGAAACATCCATTTGCACCAACATATTTTGACTTCTACTTGTCTTCAATAATTTGCAACCGTTATCCTTTTAAGGTATGCAATCACAAAATAACAAAAATCCATGATTCCAAATCGAAAAGAGATTCATTTTTTCTTAACAAAAAAAACCCTAAAATTAAAAATAGATTAAACCTACCATTGAATGACCAGGTAGCATTGAAAACGAAAATGAAATTAGACATAGCTCTGAAATCTAAAAATGAAAACGAAAGCGTAAGAAATAAGTCTCATAAAACTAGTATACAACCAGTTTTAAAAACGTTGGACTCCACTCATTCAGACTTATAGATTTTGAGCAGATTGAGAAGCTGTTGAAAAAGTCAACAAAATCAAGTTTTAGAAAAACAGAGAGGAAGAAGTGAAAGAGATGGTGGCTAGGGTTTGAGGAAGAGAAAAGAAATTACTTTATACATTACACGTTTCAGTTTCTTTTATTTTAAAATTTTAACAAAATTTAATGAATATGACTAATATAACTAAGATAATGATATTTAAGAGACTTAGAACGAACATTAATTAAATAAGAGATTAAAGTAAAATCTTAAATTAAATTAATAGAGTAATAAATACATTAAACTTAAATTTTCTTATAGGGTCATGCTAACGAGTACTTTAGTGACACTATTTAAAAATTCCAAACAAAAACAACATTACATTGAATACAAGTCTTTCTATAAAAACATATCATTTATTTTTTTTTAAAATCGATTATTTTAATTTTCAATATATTCGTTAATACAAGTATTTTCAAACAAAACACGCCTTTTTAAATTCTTAGCATTTTCTTTTTTTATATTTATATTGTTTTAAAATTAAAATTTAATTTAGACAGTTGGATCTAGATGAAACGTTCAAATTATTTGTAATTAAGAGAATGCATAGCTATTAATCGTAGTGAATCTTATTCCATTTTAAAAATAATCTATAACCTGACACGGCAAGCATAATAATAAAAATAAACATATGGTTATGAAGATGGTTTATAAAAATATACATATACATACATAAATATACATTGATACCACTCTTCACTTCCCTCCTTGCTTAGTTAGTTGCTTCCATTATTTTTCAACTAATTCTCCAAAATGAAGAAGCAACTAGCACCGCTTGTTCTATTCTCTCTCACACTATTAATATCACTTATTCACTCAACCACCGCCGGTGCCGCCACCTCCGGCCACCACAACATCACCCGCATTCTCGCCCAACACCCTGGATTCTCCACCTTCAACCACTACCTCACCATCACTCACCTCGCCGACGAAATAAACCGCCGTCAAACAATTACAATCCTCGCCATCGATAATGCCGCCATGTCGTCCCTCCTCGACAAACACCTCTCCGTCACCACTCTCAAAAACGTCCTCTCCCTCCACGTCTTAGTCGACTACTTCGGCGCCAAAAAACTCCACCAAATCACCAACGGTACAACTCTGGTTTCTTCCATGTTTCAAGCAACCGGAGCCGCCGCTGGAACTGCCGGTTACGTCAACGTCACGAATCTCAAAGGCGGTAAAGTCGGTTTCGCTGCTGAAGATAACGACGGCCTACATTCATTCTACGTGAAATCCGTTGAAGAACTTCCTTACGTCATCTCCGTACTTCAAATCAGTCAACCTCTAAGCTCTGCCGATGCTGAAGCACCGACGGCATCTCCGAGCGATATCGATCTAATCTCAATTATGTCAAAGCAAGGTTGCAAAGCCTTCGCTGATTTGCTACGAGTTTCAAAAGCTCTTCCAACTTTCAAAGACACCGTAGACGGCGGTTTAACCGTTTTCTGTCCAACTGACAGCGCCGTTAACGGTTTCGCCACAAAATACAAAAACCTAACTGACGCCAAGAAAGTTTCACTTCTTTTATATCACGGAGTTCCCGTTTACCAATCGTTACAGATGCTGAAATCTAACAACGGTATCATGAACACGTTAGCAACAGAAGGTGCTAACAAGTACGATTTCACCGTCCAAAACGACGGTGAAGACGTGAACCTTGAAACCAAGGTTAACACCGCCAACATTATCGGAACTTTGATAGATCAAGATCCGTTTGTGGTGTATAAGATCAACAAGGTTTTGATGCCGAGAGAGTTGTTTAAGGGAGTTAAAGAAGAATTAGCACCAGCTGAGTCACCGAAGGCGGCGAAGAAGAAGAGCAAGAAGAAAGGTAAGCCGGCGGCGGATGAAGATGCGGATTCTCCAGCGGCGGATGGACCGGATGCGGATGCGGATTCCGATGACCAGAAAGCTGCTGATGATAACGGAGTGAGTGGATTAAATCAAGGGTTCAGATTCGTTATGGTAATTTTCAGTTTGATTATTGGAGCTTTGGTTTAATAATTGGTTATAAATTAATTGACCAAAAAAAGAAAGTGGAGTGTCGGTGGATGCAAAACTACTACACATGACAGCTATGGTCAAATTGTGATAGATAATTCTTTTTTTTTACTTTTGTTTTTTATTTTATTTTCATTTCTTTGATTTTGTTTGTGAAGGAAATAAAATAACACGGTGGAACCAACGTGTTGGGGGCACTGTTGTTTTTTTATTAAAAAAATAAATACAATTTTCAGATTCTGTTTTGTATTTATTTATATAATGGTTTGTTTTATAATTTATTTGATTGGGTTTGTTGTCGGTGTGAAAGTGTGGGTAATGGGTAGGGACCAGTTTGTGCTAGATTCCAGCTAAGATGTATGCATGTAATTTATAAACAATTTTCTTTTCTTTAAGTTGGAAATTGTTCATAATATTCAATTTGTTTTTTCTTTAATTATTGAAACATATATTTTAATTATTTCAATGTCTGTACAAACGATGCAAACAGAGCTGCTTAATTTTTCTCTTCTTTTTTTACATGCAAAATTTCCAATAGCCCCTAATATGGTAATATATATATATATATATATATATATATATATATATATAATGTATGAATGAGAAAATGAAAGGATAGTGTATTAATGGATGAATCAATTTAATCTGTTTCTTAAAAAAAGAATACATTCAAGTTAGTTTAGTTAATAGTTGTACCACATAGACATGCGATTGTAACAGATTTTGATTTGTGTAAAATATGTCATACTATTTTCATTGTTGGCCATGTGTGATATTATACAAAATATCAGGGTTGAATTCCGTGTCAATGTTTTTAAGAGTATGGCTAAGTATGTCATATGTATCCTAACTTGGTATACTCAAGTCAACATAAATTTATATAAATATTGATTGCACTACATTAGCCTAAGACCCTTCCTCAAGTTTGAGCAGGAAGATTATGAAGATTATGGTTGTTCAACTTGTTAAAAATAATTACTTTGACTCTGTCTCATAATGAATGAATTATTTTAATTTTTAATAATTTTTTTTAATTATATATTCTAATTAATATTAGTTTCATCATTTTTAATATTTAATAAGAGGTATTTTGGTAGAAAATATCATTTACACTCTTTTATCTATTCATTTATTTTAATTTGTGTTAAATAATCAACTGAATCACTTATTGTAGTATGTAAGGAGTATCAAATTTTGGTTTTTTCCCAAAGCTTTGGTGAAAATGACAACTAGTTGAGTTTTTTGTATACACATGATGAGTCAAAATGTTGTCTTTGAGGAGCTCACTGCATAAAAAATGATGATCAACTCAAACGTGTTTTAAGCACTCTTGAAAAATGGGATTAGAAGCTATATGTAATGTCGATTGGCTATCACAATTAAGTCTCATGGGTTTAGAGTGCGAGACACAACATGTTGCATATTGGTTTTTCAAGATATAAAGAAATTATTAAATACAATCCATCTGATAAGAGAATGCTTAGGTAATGGACACCCGGTCCAATTTGAATCATAGCAGACATAAAGTTCAAGATCACAAGCAGATTGGAGAAGAATACCTTGACTTGGATTTCCTTTGAGATAACAAATGACTCGAATAGTGTTTCAAAGTTTTTCTAAAGGCTTTTGCATGAATTGAGCCAATATATGGACAAAACAAGAAAGTTTGGGTCTAATGACAATTATATAAATCAAATTGTTAGACGGCGGGATTCGATCTAGAGGGAGAAAGGGGGTGAATAGATCTCAAATTTAAATCAAACTTTTGGCAAAAATGGTTTTAAAAAGTTTTATGGCACAGGGGAAATAACCCGAATCAAATCGTCTAACTGAACCTCTATCGGAAAGTTCGGATATGCGTAAAGGTGCACAAACGTACAAATGTATGATAATGAACACAAATTGTCCAATAACTATCAATCACTAGCAATTAAATGCAAAGTTATACGTAGAGCTTATTCCCAATGATCAAAACACACAAAAATATAATAAGACAATTTATCGAACACTTTGTGTGCAATCGATATCGTTTAAAAATTTGCTTTGTTTTGTTGATCTAAAAAATCAATCACAATCAAACGGATTATGATTATATCAATAAACCCTATTTTAAAATGTAATAAAAAAATTAATTTCCAAAGGAATTGATCCAACAACAATGAATTCAACAATTTGCTAACACATAAATTAAAAGAGAGAGAGAGAGAGAGAGAGAGAGAGAGAGAGAGAGAGAGAGAGAGAGAGAGAGAGAGAGAGAGAGAGAGAGAGAGAGAGATTTGTTTAAGCAGTTCCCTAATCGGCCTCGCTATGGGTACGTGTGCCCTCAATTCGAATTCGAATTGAGATATTATAATAAATATTACTTTGCAAAATATGCATACAAGAGTTGAAAAACTTTAACCCTACAAACCCTGAGTTTGTTGTTGATTCTACCACCTCTAAAACCCTTGATCAATCTTGATCAAGTAACCAACCATGCTGCTTCAATTCATTTGTTGTTGCTACTTCCATACAAGGCATCTCTTGTCCCAAGGCTTTCACCTGGTTGAAAATTAATCCCAAACGCATGATCAAGTAACCAACAATGTTGCTTTAATTTACAAATCCTTGCTACTTCCTTGCAAGGCACCCCTTGTCTCAAAGCTTTCACATGGTCAAATTAACCCCTTGAGGCTGAGGTTGTAAGTGGTTCAACAGATTTTGCATCCACGAAACTGGTGTCGAAGATAAAATTATGGCACTTGAGATTGGGCCATGTCAGCGAAAGAGGTCTGGTTGAACTGCGAAAACAGAACCTGCTAGGTGGTGACAAAGTCGAGAAGTTAGAGTTTTGTGAACCTTGTGTATTTGCCAAATCCTGTAGGGTAACATTTAACAAAGGTAAACAAAGAACACATGGATCCCTTGATTACATCCATACTAATCTTTGGGGACCTATAAGAAATCCTTCACATGCTGGTGCAATGTATTTTCTATCCATAGTTGATTAATATTCCAGAAAATTATAGGTATTTATTTAGAATACTAAGGATGAAACTGTTGAGAATTTCAAAATTTGGAAGGTTCTGGTCGAAACTCAAACTAACAGAAAGGTTAAGAGGTTGAGAACCGACAATGGCCTTGAGTTCTGCAACGAAGCTTTCGCCAATTACTATGTTGAGTCTGGGATTGCAAGGCATAAGTTTGTAGCAGGTACTCCTTAACAAAATGACTTAGCAGAGAGTTTCAATCGAACAATCCTCAATTTGGTTAGTGCTAGATTGAGGAAGGCGTTTTGGGCGGAGGTTGTTTCAACAACATCTTATCTAATAAATATATGTCCCTTGACTGCCTTGAAAATGAAGACACCTGAAGAAGTATGGTTGGGTTAACCACCATATCTCGATAAATTGAGAGTATTTGGTTGTTTAGCCTATGCTAACATTAGGCAAAGCAAGGTCGAACCGAGAGCTCTGACATGCATGTTTCTTGGATATCCTGAGGGAGTCAAGGGTTATAGGATGTGGTGCCTAGAACCAGGTCACAGAAGATGCATCACAAGTCATGATGTAGTTTTCAATAAATTTGATATGGCATTCAAGAAAACTGGTGATGTTGATCGAAGTGCATAAATCTCTGAAGAGGAGTTGGAATGTGTAGAGATTCCTGTTGAGGTGGAGCATACTGATGCTAAAGTACATAACCCAGATGAAGTCGAAGAAGAAGAGCAAGATGATGAAGAGGATGAGGAAAGTGTCAATGACTATCTACTGGCAAGAGATAGGTCGAGAAGAGTCATCAAGCCACCTTAGAGACTTGGTTATACAAATCTTATAGCTTATGCCTTAATATCTGCAATTAAGGTACTTGAGGAAAAACCTAGAGATTAAAGGAAGCTACGAGGAGTCGAAATAAGACTGGATGGTAAAAAGACATGGATGACGAAATGAAATATCTTCATGATAATAACACTTGGGAGCTGATTGAAAAACCTGCAGGAGCAAGGTTAGTCAGTTGTAAGTAGATTTTCAAGGTCAAGGAAGGAATTAAATGAGTGTTGTTGAAGCGCTTTAAGGAAAGACTTGTTGCTAGGGGGTTCACTCAAAATGAAGGTGTCGACTTCAATGATATGTTCTCACCTATTGTAAAGCGTAGATCCATCAGAATATTGTTGTCCATGGTGGCGAAGTTCGACTTGGAACTTGAGAAAATGGATGTGAAGATAACATTTCTGTATGGTTACCTAGACAAAACGATCTTGATGCATCAACATGAAGGGTATGTAGAAAATGATAAGGAAGGTTATGTGTGCAAGTTGAAGAGTTCCTTGTATGGATTGAAACATTCTCCTCGACAGTGGAACAGGAGATTCGACAAGTTCATGGCAGACATTGGTTTCATTAGGAGCCAGTTTGATCACTGTGTGTACTTAAGATTTCGACCTGAAAATTCACTTGTTATTCTGTTGCTTTATATGGATGATATCCTCATAGGTAGCAATAGTGTTGAGGATGTAATAGAGGTGAAGGCTGAACTCATCAAGGAGTTCTAAATGAAGGATCTGGGAGCTGCCACCAGGATTCTTGGGATTGAGATCCGGAGAGATAGAAAGCAGTCGAAGTTGTGCTTACCTCAAGAAACATACCTACGAAAGCTTATCGACAAGTTTGGTATGTCGAATTCAAAGCCTGCTGTGACTCCAACAAATCCTCAGTTTAAGCTTAGTACTACTCAAAGTCCGAGTACTGAAGTTGAAAGAATCGATATGAGTAGCATTCTATATTCTAGTGTAATAGGTTCTTTGATGTATGTTAAGGTCTGTACGAGTCCAAACATATCGTATGGTGTGAGCCTTGTAAGCAGGTATATGGCCAATCCTGGAAAGACGCGCTGGTAAGCTGTAAAGTGGATTCTCAGGTACATAAATGGGTCTCTGAAAAGAGTTTTAATTTATGGTGGAGCCTGTGGTGGTGATAGCATAGTCGAAATCGAAAGATTTGTTGACTCTGGTTATGCAGGTTGTATGAATTCCAGAAAGTCTATTTCTGGATATATTCACTATGTTTGGCACAACAATTAGTTGAAAAGCAACGCTTCATAAGGTTGTTGACTTATCAACCACTGAACCAGAATATATCGCCCTCACTAAAGTTGTGAAAAAAGCATTATGGCTTGAAGGTTTTGCAAAGGAGCTGAAACTTCAAGGTCAAAGTATCACTGTTAAATATGATAGTCAAAGTGCAATACACTATCGAAGAATTCAGCCTATCATGAGCGAACTAAGCACATCGATGTGAGACTTCACTTCATCAGAGAGATAATCTAGAACGGTGAAGTCTAGGTGCTGAAGGTTTCGACTGAAGACAATATTGCTGATATGATCACCAAAACGTTGCTCAATTGCAAGTTTTTCCACTGTATGCAGTTGATAAATCTGCATGATGAAAGCTAGTTGATTTTCTGTTTGATTGAGTTAGATCCAAGGTGGAGATTTGTGAGATTTTGAATCAAACTCAAACTTTGTCAAGGAATATCTTTCATGTATTTCGACAGGATGGGTCGCTTGTTATGGCTCGAAGGATACATACTATGTATTGTCGAAATGTTTGTCGAATTTAGCCTTTTGTTATAGATCCAATTGTTTAGTTAGCTTGAGTTGCAAGTTATCTAGTTAGTCTATATATAGGCTAGACCACTCAAGTTGTTGATTGAGACCAACTGTGATATTCATTTGTAATCATTTGTAAACCCTAATGAGAAAGTGAATAGTAAATAATTTTCCCTAATTCTTCTTCTTCTTTCTTCTTTATCCTTTTCTTTTTTCTCTTTTTGTTCTAACTGTTTTCATTGTTCACCCAAAAACTCTGTTTTTCAATCTTAATTTATTAAAAAGTATCGTTTGTGATCACAATTCAGTGTCTCGTATGCATATTGTTCTGCCTCAGGAGTTGTCATGTCCAATTGTTTCTTCTCCTCACAACTTCTCTTTTAACATGGAACTGAGATTTCAAGTACAATGCACACACTTTCATGTAGCGATTTAGTCAAAGTTTGTTAATTCTTCACACAACTTCTTTAGTGTACCATAGTATGTTACGATGGTCAAACCTTTTACCTTTATGAGTGCATTCGATAAGTCTAATTTTGAGTTTTTAAACACGAGGTCCATTCACAACGGAGAATTTCTTTTTCTTATATTGTTTTTCACCAGCAGCATTGGCAAATCAAATCAACGTAGAGGGGAAATTATCAAGGAAATTTTATGAATGATGACTGCAGTACCTCAATGCATTTATTCTGTGCAACTAAAATTACATAGCAATAGACTATTAGCTAAACATTGTGGTTAAGCCTTAGAGTTCAGTAATGGTAACACTTGTACACATAGATTGCTAGTAACTTATCCAAAGTATTTGTATTTCTAGTTTCGGTCACAATAAGATGAGAGTCATATACCTTCTCTTAATCTTCCTCCCAAAATATTAGTTTGTTTCAAACTGGAATTGCCTCAGACAGAATGAAATTGCAAGGAAGAGCTAGTAACATAACTAATCGCTTATTGCTCCAAATGAAAGCATACTTTGGTTATAAATTAGTATTTGACCTATATCATTAAACCATCCTCCTTCGAAACCAAGCCGGTTAAGCCTGTTGGTATTTAAATCAAACCAAACTAATTAAAGTCCTTTTTCAAATGAATAATAGATGTGTTTGAGTGTTCCTCTTTGAAATGTGCTGCTATTGCAGAGGTGGGAGGATGGGTCGAAGAGGAGTGGCGTTCGAATTTTATTGCCTTGGAACAAGATCTGCCTATTGAAGTGTTGGTGGAATTCCGAGGATAGGGCGAGCCATGGTGCTACGGATAAGTTTGTGTGGAAAAATGGAGCTTTTGGTTCATTTTCTGTTAAGTCTTGTTATCATTCGTTGTTGTCCTTTTCTATTAATCCTGTGGATGAGATTGTTTTCAAGGCGGCTTTGGATGTTGTATGACAAACAAGAGCGCCATTAAAAGTGAGAGTCTTTGGTTGGAGGCTTATGTGGGACAGGCTTTTTACGAGAGCAAATCTGACGGTGAGTAGAATAATCTCAAATTCTCACCCAATTGTTTGTGTTTTTTGTTTCAACGCTGTCGAGGATATAAATCATATCTTGTGCGTTTGTTCGTGTATTACCCTTGTGTGGAGGATTGCGAATTGAGTGGATATTCCGTGGGTGGAAGAAGGTGAGGTGTGCGACCACTTGTTTGATTGGTTTTTGAAAATGGTGAAGAAAACATCCAAGTCAACTTGTGTAATTTGGTTGTCGACATGTTGGCTGATTGGGTGGATCAGGAAGCAAATCATTTTCAATGATATGATTGGGAAACACGACGATATCGCAATGAGGGTGATTCATACTTCATGGTCTTGGTTGGAGTTTAGGTGTAAATCTAAGTCTAAATGTAGTTTTTACAATTGATTCAAGGTTTTTATTGATTTCTTAAATTAGGAGTTTCTTTGTTTTATTGGTCCACCATGTATTTTGTTGGTGTGTTGGTGTTGTATTTTTGTATGGCTTGGTGTATTCCAAGTATGCTATCTTAATTTAATTTGTTGTTTATAAAAAAAATGAATCAACTTATAGTTATCTCTTGTGTTACAACCAAATCCATTAAGATTTGTCCGAGTAATAAAATTAAGAGTGTGTTTTGATGAGGTAATTGAAATTTTTTAAGAAATTTAAAATTTTAAACAATTTAAATGATTCAATTAAAAGTCATTTATTTAAAAAAAATTATTTAAATAAAGTATTAAAATGATTCATTGTTAAATTTTTGGGGGTTATTTTCATAAGTTTTAAAAGTTTTGAGCCAAATTTAAAATATTGAAAACAAGGACCAATTTGAAATTTTTAAAAATTTAAAGGAATTAATTTGTAAAATTTGAAAATTATTAGAAACTTATTTGCAATTTTAAAAAAATTAAGAATAAATTTAAATTTTTCTTAAAATATGAGGATCATCTTGCAAAATTTTAAAAATTAATAACAAATAATTTAACATTTGTGTTATATAAAGTGAAGGAGAAATTTCAAATTCTTTACTTTTTTAGTGTCATTTAAATTTAAATACTTTATAAATTTAAATCATTTTAACAATTCTCTATATTTCTTTTTATCTAAATAATAGATTTTGTTCGAGTCATTTTAAATTTTCTCAAAAAATTAATTTCTCTCATTAAAAAAAGAGGAATTGATCATTGAGATGAGTGTTTGGGTGGGAGAGTCTTGGCATTAGGAGCTTGGGTTTAATATATTGGAAGATGCAGGAAGAACTCCATCATCTTTTGCTATTCTTGTCTGAGTTCAAACGCATAAATGTTAAATGCATTACATTAGCCTATGAGATTGCAATGGTGGGAGTTCAAACGCATGACACTAGTTGGACAGTATGGTCATTTCATCACCAAAATAATTTGGATGCTCATGCTACCTCGTCTTGCAATATGCATTTAAATATTCATGCAAATACTTTATTATTATGACTTGACCATAATGCTGAATTGCTCTCTATCACAAATCAGAATCAACTCTATTATTTTTATTCCACCAATTATATCTACTTTATGGTATCAAATCCTCACACTATACCTAAATCTATCTTTTTTATACTATCAATATCCAATGGAATCTCTCTCTTTTCTTAAAAAAACAAAAAAGCATCTTTCATTCTTGTAACTCTATCACATACTGAAAGATGCCGTTTCCCATTTTTCTCCTTAACCACTGTTATCAAATTTCATATAGTACTATATAAATCAATACATCATGCTACTTTGTTGAAACACACGTTCAAGAATCATGATAAAGGAATTCAACACCCAAACAACACTCAATGTAGGGTTGGAGACCCTGTGGGCAGCTCAGTCTAGAGACTTCATTTTCATTGTTCCAAAGGTTCTGCCAAATATTGTCAAAGATGTGCAAGTAGTTCAAGGGGATGGAGGGGTTGGCACCATCCTCATCTTTAACTTTTTGCCAGGTAACTGTGCCTTCTCTCCACAATTTTCTTATAAACAAAAAAATTCTATTATACTGAACACAAGAGATATTTATTAGGAAGATTCTAAAGTCTCACACTGGTTGGAGATAGAATATTGAAATAGTTTATATAGAGTGACACCCCTCACCTTACCAACAGGTCTTGTAAGGTTGTATTAAGCCAAACTCTAATAGTACTCAACTCGAATAAAAAAAAAGAATACAACTTTTATAACACAATTTTTTTATAAAATTTTATTTAAGGGAAATGAATGAATCTCAGGTATATCTCCAGTAAACTATCAGAGGGAAGTGATCACTGAGTTTGATGAGTTATCTCATGAAATTGGGCTGCAAGTGATTGAAGGAGGCTATTTGACTCAAGGTTTATCATACTACAAGACAACTTTTCAATTCACAGCAATAACAGAAGACAAGACTTTGGTCAAAGTGAAAATCTCTTATGATCATGAATCTGACATAGAAGAAAAAGTCAAACCTACCAAGACATCAGAATCCACTTTACTTTATCTTGGGTGCCTTGAAAAGTATCTCTTGAATGGTGCTTGAAGATAATATTTAACATATCTAATATATGGATCTTGTTAATTTATTTTTACTGCTCTCCATAAAGTGCTATTTTTCATAAATGGCATGTTATTAATAAAAATTTACTTTCTCAAGTGTTTTTATAAAAGTTTATCATTGCGTTGAAGAATTAATACTTTACTATTTAAACAAAAAAAAATAAAATAAAGAATATATGCTTTACTCTGTGATCCAATTTATAACAGAAACAAAAGCACAGAACAATTTTTAAAACAAAACAAATGTCATAAAAGACAATAAACAAAAACCATTAATGTTTTCTTGTCTTGGGATTTTAGAATTGAAACATGCACCTCATTTTTATAACTCCTTCAGTAGGGGTGTTACATAATAGATAATCAAGTTTTCCGACTTTAAGTTAATTTTACATAAAATGCATTCATAAACCAAATCAACTTGTAAAATAAAGATGATAAATCATGACACATATGATCAAATTGCTTCTCAAATTGTCATTTTTTTACTACAATATAATAATTGGCGCATTTGTAACAAACTAAACTATAAGTCACTTTATAAGTATGATAAATTCTATTAACTATTATTTATACATGAAAAAAAAACACAATTAAATGTTTATTGCTCTAATGGAAAGCATTTTTTTTTATAAATTAAAACTAAGGTGTTTAATCGTGTCGGTATTTAAATCAAACCAAACTAATTCTGAGTCTTTGGTTTTGAAGAATATTTTGTCTTTCTTCTCCACATTCAAAAATCTCAGTGCAAGGAGCATCTCAAAGTAAGCAAACGGCTCAACTGAGAAGAGTTTGAAACATGACTTCTTAAAATCTAATTAACCTAAAACTGATATGTCAAAAGTACTAATATTCTGATGAGACGAGAATAAGGTAATGAACATATTTAGCACCAATAAGTTTGCACACGTCTCTCCAACAACTTATGAAGGAATATGTGTGTTAATAAATGCCTCATTGCTTAAGTCAAATGATATTAAAGATTTCCCAACATAATAATATTTTATATTTAAATTTTGAAGGTGAGAGAAAGGGGTTTTGAATTGTGTGCTTAAAAAACGTTTTGTTTTTGAACTCAGAAGTTTAGAGTTTGAACTAAGTTCAGAGTCTGTTAACACAATGTATATCAGCGGAAAATAAAGTTCAGAAGTAAATGTGATCAACACACAAAAGTTATCCTGCTTCCTTTCCTAAACTGAGAGTAGTCCAGTCTTCTTGCCTCAATAAGATCTTTTCACTATAACCAATCAGATTATAAATGATCAAGTTACTGTTCAAGACTTCCTACTGAATCAACTCTGAATGAGACTTCCTTGCTTAAGTCACTGCTCAGGACTTCCTACTTAAACTCTCTGCTTCAAGACTTCCTTGCTCAATCAACCCTAAATGAGAGTTCCTACTTAAACCTTCTGGTTCAAGACTTTCTTACTCAAGCACGCATGTGAGAGACTTCTTCTATTTTAAACAGTCACTTTAGCAAACAATTTAACTACTATACTTTGATACACAATCAGAAGTATAACAGTTGTGCAACAATCACAAAGGTTTACAACCTTTCTAAGATTTCTAAGATAAATCTAAGATAATAAATCTTAAGATCTTATGCTATAACAGTTACAAAAATTGCTCAAAGTTATTCTAAGATCTTTCTATATGTTGTGATATTGTGACCTTCCTTTGAGTCTTCAAATTCCTTGTATAGATATAGAAAGAGTCGTTAGAGGTTTGAACAACAACAACCTTAGTGAGGAAGTATTCTAAGATAGACATTGAAGATTTGCATCTGGTTAGAAGCTTTGTCCATTGAATAAAAACATTGTCCATAACACCTTTCGAGTAACTATGTATATACCAAAAGATAGTAAAGATTGAAGAGGTCACATCACCATCCATGAACCTTGCAAAACCAAATCTTAGTTGACTATATCCAAAAATATGGGACTCTGAAAAGACAAGTCTGCTTTGGTGTAGTGTACATATAACCTGCTATCCACGTCTATCAGAAACTGAGTTGTCATCAAAAGCTGAATCATGAGTCCAGAGTCTGATACCTTCAAAGTCTGATGAATATATTCATATTTTGATCAGGCAGAATATGAGTATAGCTTTTTTGCTTATGCTTTTGATCGCGACTTTCTATGTCTAATACAACTTAACTGCAAGTGCACAGTCTATCGCGTAGTAATAATAGATATCGATCCCACAGGGACTCGTAATCAAACTAGTGTTCTCGGGAGTTACTATGTTTAGCTAGGTAGATAATGTTTAAGGGAATAAGATTGTCACTAAAGGGAACTAAGAATGTTAATTAAATTATAATTAAGTGAATAGATATGCAGTAATTATGTTCTTCGGGGATTTGACAAGTTACCGGTATACGAAATATTTTTCAGAGTTTATTTAAGCAGAAAATGGTGATCTGAAGACTCTCGCCTCACGATGGTTATTGACGCTAATCATAATTCTAAGGGCCAAACGTACGCTTTCGTGTCCCATTCGGGGTTTAAATTATTTTTTGGAAATCTCTAAATTCTAATTCATTTTAAAGTGCTTTCGCTGTTATTAAAATGAATGACTAGTGTTTACTATCTGGTCTTGCCGCAGCTTTCGCTTGTTGGTTCGTACCTTAATTAATTTCCCACTTTCGTGGCAAAACTACTTTTAAATAAGTTCTCGCTTTCGCGACGAAGTTTATTCAGTAAATTAATTTAAACACTCAGACCATAAACAACTTTTGAAAAAGATAGTTTTCAACCGGTTATTATCAAATCCCTTCCGAGTTATTATTACATATCAATTACTTTGATTTAGCTACACATGGATTTGGGAAAGGTAAAACATAAATAAAAACAATAAATAATAGCATGCATCATAATAAAACTGGAATTACGATTAAAATGAGAAACCTGTAAATATTCCAATTGACCTTTGGGCAGATCCTCCACAAATGTTGGCAGGATTATGGTCTTTGTGCCAATTGATCGTACAAGGGAAATAAGAATTACAGAAGAATCAAAGGAATGCAGAAAAAGAAAAGAGAAACAAATAAGAATATTAAAAACTGGAAAGGTTGCTCTGAAGATAAATTGGCAGCACTTCGTTGTCTGAATGCGGCTCCCCTTCTGAGTTCCCCTTCTTCCCTTTTTATAGAAATGGAATTCTAACGGTTATAACTTGAAGAAGGTGGACTTTGAGGCAGAATTATCAGGGAGTAGTGGTCCACTATTTGGGACTTGGAACTGCTTCTTTCACGTGCATTTGAAGTGGGGCGTTTTTGCCTGCATGACGGTCGTCACGGTGTGTGACGGTCGTCACCCGTGTGACGGTCGTCACAACAGCAAAATCAGCATTCTGCGTTTTTCATGTTGTTTTCATCCGGTTTTCGTCCATATTTCATCTGAGATTGCTTCTTTTCTTCATATTGCCTTGTTTAGACATGATCATCAAATACCTGCAAAGTATCAGACAAATAACACGGAAATAACCCGAAATCGGATCGAAAACAGTTAAACATCAGTTGAATTATGCATCAAAATATATATACGATTTCGTGTTATCAGCTTTCAACATGATTAATAGTGAATTATTTAGTTTATAGTCCTACGCACTTGAACATATGCTAGAAAACCCTATTGTTCTTTCAATACTTTGTTATCATCAAAACCTTTTAAGGGCGTGAACATATCTTGTTCTAACAATGTTCCTATTTTTTATAATGACAAACAAATGTATTTGAGAACAATGGTTGGTGATTTAATTAACATAGTCTAACATCAGATCCTGAGGTTTGTAAGCTCCCCCTAAGTTAGACAGTCCATTAAGGTGAGGTTTGTAAGCTCCCTCTAAGTTTTGATAGTGTTGCACCCCAAAATTTGCTCAACCTTTTCTTACCTGGTTTATGTGTCATTTTCATTAACATTTCCATAGTTCTAACATTTGCATATCATAGCATAATATCATTTAGCAGGGGATCAAGTGTGATTCATGTCAAAAGAAGCCTAACCAGAGGTCTTATTCAAGTTCGAGAAGTCACCAAGGTCATCAGGAGTTGGTTTGAGGTTTCGAGAAGTTTAAATGCTCATGTGGATTTTTCTCCTATCTTGAGGACTATTGAAGACCATAAGTGGGATGTGAAACTTGGATTGTGAATAGAGGATGTGTATAGAGCTCATGGAGTGCCTAGAGGTCCATGTTAAAGCTTAATCAAGTCATTAATTCAAGTGCAAGAGCCACAGTTGAGGTGCAAGCAATTAGGGTTTCATCTGGATCAATTCTAGGTCAACTGTGCCATTGAAGAAGCATCAAAGCCTAATTTTAGGTCATGGATTTCATGGAATGATGTGTTGAGACATTTGTGGTGTTGTGCCAAGATCAAATCAAGAAGAATCAAGAGTGTGGGAAGTTGCTAAATTAGGGTTTCAGTGTAAAATTCCCTATTTAGTGCCTAACTTCAAGGCCACATAAGTCAAGATACAAGTTTCAAATAAATATTTGGCCAACATGGAACTTGTAGATAATCTCAATACCTTTAATTTGAGTACTAGAAGTCCTCCATTGGATTTATAGAACTCAAGTTATGGTTAAGACAAGTTACAGGTCACCAGATGAATGTGAAATTTATCTATGAAAGTCACTTGACTTCCAAGTAACTTTTAACCTAGAAAGAGGTTTCACATGAACTTTTGGCCAACATGAAAGTTGTTCCTCATGATCTTAGCTTTCTAAATTGTACTAGAAGTCTTCCATCTGATTTGTAGAACTCAAGTTATGAGGTTTACAAGTCAGGGGTATTTTGGGAAAGTGAGATTATAGGTCATTTTCAATCATAGGCCAAAATCTCCAACTTGCACTTGTCAAATGGATTTTTTTTCAACATGAAAGTTGCTTAAAATGGGATTTTAAGTGCAACCAAGTGGTCATTTGGGATTGGTTTGGCTTGTAGCAAAAAGTCACTTAAAATGGCCTAAAAAAGAGAATATTTTAAAT